GTATTATTATTTTTATATATTAATAGTATAAAAAATTTAATAATATACAAGTCACATTAAGAGTAAAGAAAGAGAAAATATACACATACATACATATAGCATGTTTCTGAAATTTGAAGTTGAACATACTAAAATTAAATTTTTACATTTTAATTACTTTTGTAATTCAGATGGACAAAATAATTCAGAGAACAACCAACAACATTTCGAAGCGAACCATGTGCCACTTCAGCAACATTCTCAAATGCCGAGCAACACCGGCGAGGGCACATTCAGACACCCGCTTCCACCAGGCATTATCAGACCCAGATTGCCTATTCAACCCAACCTTTTAATTAGAAATTCCATTGGTAATATTGGTTCGCAATATCTTATTTAGTAACTCTTTTTTAGTACATAAAAAATAATTTATAATATTTTATATACGTATATGTATGACAAATTTCTTTTGATGCAATATTTATATATTATTTTTGTGTAATATTTATATTTTTATATACAATTTAAAGATTATAAAAAAATGTTAATCTATTTTATTATTGATGTTTTATATAAAGTCCTTGATTTTTACATGAAATTTCCATGTGTTATATATGAATACAGGAATAAACCCACGACATCCTGTAGCAGGGAATATTCAGGGTTCAATGGATCATCGTACCAAAATGTTGTTGCAAAATAGGCCTCAAGTAACTACCACCAATATACCTCAACAGCATTTCCAAGGAAATCAAAATCTACAAACACGAATGCCAACAGTAAGAAATACCATACCCGAACCCTACGATATTTTACAGCAACAGAGGCAATTCACAGGTAAATTAAAAGAGTCTTGAGAGAAAAAAATATATTTTTTGACATGTTAAAAGAAATGAAGCAATTTTATAAGATTTAATTTACTTTTATTTTATTTTACTTTAATTCAATATTAATTTTATTTTATTATAGATTGATTAAAAGAAAAGAGAGAGAAAGAGAGAGACGGTATGTTTTCTCTTTCCATGATTTTAAAGACAAAAAATTCAAAATTTTTAAATTCCAGATTTAAAGTCTTTTTAAACATACAGTATTTTTTATATCAGCATTTCTTATTTCACAAACATAGAATATTTCTTATAGTTTTTTATGTCCTATAAATTTAATAATTGTGAAAACATCATTTTCGATGAAAGTTTAGTGGTTTTGAATCACAATTTTCTATTTACCTCTCTTTTCTATTAAATTTAGCATTTTAGCGATTTTGAGTTTTAATATTTTATACAATCTGAAAAAGTGCTCAAATTTCTAATATTTTAAGTTTTTACAAGTTATAGATTTTAACAAAACCAAAAAAATTGTTTAGATGTAAATCAAGCGCAGAATATGAACCAGCGCATTGCACGGACGACGCAGGACAATTTGAATCAAAGTATTCGCATGTTGAATGCGGTTCCGGTCCAAACACCTCTTCCTACAACGATAAGCGACACCGCGGGAGTGACTACTTCGGAAGCGTCTGAGATTCCCGACAACGTCACAGCCGAATTGGAGAAACTAGAGCAGGAAGGAGCTGGGCCAATGGTCGAGGTCGAGGGTGTCAGTGCAATATTGGGAGATTTAGCAGACGATGATGATGAACTTCTCGGTAAGACATATGTTATAAAGCAAATAAAAATTCTTATAGTAAAATAGAATCAAAATGTTATATTACTACAGCAATATAAAAAAAAATTGTTATACAAATCAAATTATAAAGTTTAAAAATATTATATGAATTAATAATATAAAAAAATCTGAAATTAAAAAAATATTTATTTTTAGCCGAAATGGGAGCAGATTTCAATATCCTGGAATATGCTGATCCTGAGTTAGACACGATTGCGGGCGGGGAGAAGACTAACATCCTTGATCTAGATCTCGAACAAGTTGAAGTTGATTCCAAGGACGAGAAGCAAAAAAAGGAAACTAAGGATGATGATCAGAAACCGGAAATAACTACTCCATCCTCTGAAATTTCTGCCGATTCCTGTCCGACGAGCACAAGTTTGACCTTGACAGAAAATTCCAATGTGCCGACAATGACGTCGTCGCAAGCGACATCGCAGGCAATACAGGCGCAAGTGGTGCAGCAGCAGATGCATCAGCACGTGCAACAAGCGGCAGCGATGGGTCGGCCAATGCCACCGGGAACGAAATTGCTGTCGCCGGACGGAGCCGTAGGAGTGGTGACTTCCACGAATACAGTGACCGTGAGTTATCCGTCAAACTTTCCTGGACATCAGCAGAGAATCTCGCAAGCGCATATACAAGGTAAATGGAAAACATTATGTGTATAACACTGAAATATGTTATCTAATTACTTGTTTTAAAACACGCATTATTTTATGTATACAAAAAACTTCATATTTTACAGAAACTTGTCAAATTACTTTATTTATAATGATCCTATACGAGTTACTTTAAAAATATATCTATAATTAAAATTTTTTACATAAATATTATATGTGTGTATGTGCGTGTGTGCACGCGTATATAGTATTATTTTTTATATAAAAAGACTAATCTTAATTTTATAATACTTATAATACTTATATAATAAATCTATTTCTTTTATCGTAGTTTCGCAGCAACAACGATTGGGCATGCGAGTAGGAGGGGTGCCAAATAGACTAGTCGCCGTAAATCACATGGTCGGCACTCGAATGCCTCTTGCTCCGCCACCGCCGCCACCGCCACCCCCGTATCCTGGACCGCCGCCTCCGTATCCTGGACCAATACAGGTAAATGCAAATCTTTACATTGCAATTATACTTTTTTTAAAAAAATTATGCTTTAATATTTAATATTATATAAAAAATTACGAAAATTAAATTAAAGTAAATCGAAATAAAGTTTAAATTTAGAAAATTAAGAAAATTAAATTATGAATTTTTAATTTTAATTTAATTAAATTTACTAAAGTATTATTATTATCATTATTATTGTTATTATTATTATTATTATTATTATTATTATTATTATTATTTTTATTTTTGTTATTTTTATTTTTATTTTTATTATATTATACTTTTAATAAATTAAAGATAATTAAAAATTTGTAATTTATAAAAAACTTTTTACAATATCTTTTAAAAAGAGAGAAAAAGAGAGAGAGGGAAGTAAAGGGATAATTTACTTCTCTCACATATATTTAGAACGTATACATATACGCATGTTTACGCGCTGGCGCGCGTGTACGTGCATACGCTCGCACACACACACCCACACACACACACACACACACACACACATACAACACAAACACACAACATGCATATACATATACAAATAGAAAGAATAATAATAATTTACGAAATTGAAAACACAAAAATTTGTAAATAAATGAAATAAAATATTGATAACTTTGATGACGATGTTAACGTTGATAAAATTTAATGTTATAATAAAACTTTGCTGATGACATTTATTTAATTATATAACACGGTTTGCAAGGTGTATTAATACATATATATAAAATGCTTCATGATTGCATGTATAATATTTGTGTCAGTCAATATTTTACAGGTTTGCTAAATTTATTTCAAAAATATTTTGCGCGGATGCAGTTTTTCAAAATATACACGAAGTAATGTTGCACTATTTGTTAGGCAGCAATTTTAAAATTATAATTTTGCAATATATTGCATATTTTGCAAATTACGCGCGCGCTGAAAAGTATTCATATACTATTGAACTTGGAATTTAAGACAACTAATATATTTACACTGATAATGATTTGACCAGAAAGCGAAATCAAAACGTTAGAATTTGTTGTGATTGTAGACGTAGCTAAATAATATCTAACACTTTCAGTGCCAAGAAGAATGTATTTTAAGTTACAAATATATATAATTACAACGTTTTTTCGTTACAAAACATATTTTTTCTCAGTTAAAAGATGGCGAATTATTCTCCTATTTTTCGAGCAAACAAATCGTAATGTATAAATAGTAGTAAGCCTATAAATAATATATCGTTTTTATATTTATAACGTTATATTCTTTCATAACAATTGTTATAAATGTGGAAAGAGAAATGTTTTCAATTGAAATTTATATTAATTTAAGAAATATATAATACTAGGAATAGCTATTTTTAAATCGAACATTTTTCAAACGGGAATACTTTTATTTTATACGTATATATGTATGTATGTATGTATGTATGTATGTATGTATGTATGTATGTATGTATGTATGTATATATGTATGTGTACATTAATAGAAACTTTATTTTAATATTTTCTTTGCAATCTAATGGGTTGTCACGAAAGAAATTTTAGTATAGATCTTGAATATATTCAAATGGTACTGAAAGGGTTATGATAAGAATATTGGCTGGTTTTTTTGGCCTGGGTGTGCAAGTTTGCAATATGCATTTGGTGTTGGTGCATGTGTCTAGATGGGGCTGTGCCCAGGTGGTGGTGGTAGTGGGCGAGGTATGACACGGCCCCCGGTCCATATAACGGGACATCAGGTGCCGGTGGCGGGCCCCCCGATGGGCCCTGTGGTGCCACACCCTCACCGAAGACCCTTGCTTTTGCAGGTGAGCAAGATTCGGGTCATTTCTAACATTAAAACAGAATAAATAAGTCAGATTTAGTGAAAGGACTCATATGGAGATAAAAACACCCTTAATTTTTATTCTTTATAAACGAGAATATATTTTCTGCTAAAACAAACATTTTCTATAATGTAGACGTAGACGAAATAAATGTATAATATTTGATTAGATAGTTTACTTATATTATAGAACAAAATAATGTTTTAAATAGAACAATTAATTAATTAATTAACATATAGGGAAGAAAATTTTTTTTATTTTTATTTAATTAATTTATGTTATAAAATATAATATCTATACTGCTAGCTATTAAAATTGCAGCACTATATATATGTATACATACATATACATAATGTTACAATTTTATTAGACAGCAGTGTATTATGTCTGATATCAAAGGAGATTTATTTAAACATTAAATATTTGGTTATATAATACTAATTAAATAAAAAAAAAAAAATTTTTTTATGTTATAAGTTGAAGTTTCATTATTCTGTTGTAAAAACGAAAACAAAACATTAACACTTGCACTTTTTTATCCCCTTACCTATATTTATTTTAGTATAAATTTTAATGCACTTTTAAATATGTTTGCATGCATATTGCATGATATTAATTTTATTAACATTGATTATAAGAATGCGTTTTACCAAAAATTTTGCTTAATTATACTTATTTTTTATTTTGAAGTAATATGATTCAGAATTTCGCTTTTTTTATGATTTTTACGTTATTTAATGTATTAAAATCGTTCTTCATGCATGTGCGAGCTACATTTATTTGTATGTATTACTAATTAGATCATACATTTCTTTGTTTTTTTTATATTTATATATAATAGAAAGTAAATAAAAATTTTACTGTTAGAAATATTATCATATGTAAACCCCAATTTATAACAACATAAAATTACATAACATAAACTTACATTTTATCTACATTCTTTCTTACACACATTGCACTTAACTTTTTATATATATACACGTATATAATCTTATTTTACTATACAATTTGATATTCTATTTTATTGGATCTATCGCAATCTTAATTTCTGAGTTCCAAAGTAGCATCCCTTATATCCGAAATCGACTTTGACTGTCAGCAGTCGTGTTCACAGGAGCAGCCGTTGTTGCTAGAGGAGTTGCTGGAGCAGGAAAAACGAGAACAAGAAAAACAGCAGCAACAACAACAACAACAAACTGAAAATACCACCGGGAGTGGTCTTTTGAGCGATAGTGATTTCGAAAGACTAAAAGCTGATGTTTTGGGCACTACGTCACCACCTCAGAGTATAGTGCCGGTGGTCAGGCCGCCTTGCGTAGCAAGACAAGCATCTTCCGCATCTGATACCAATTGGCAGCAGAGTGGTGTGGCTGCTGATGGGACGGCAAAGCTAACAGTGGCACAGGTGGGAGCGAGACAACCGATCGCTACACAGACTCCGCCTGAACGTTAGTAATCTTCTATTACCTGTTTTTCCATTATTTCTGCATTGAATTATTAATTATAAAAAAATTAAAATAACCTTAATAATAAAAAAGTGAATTGCACAAGCACATTACATTGTTTTAATGTAATAGGATTAATATTTATTAAAATTAATTTTTATTATAATTTTAGTTTCCTAATTTTTATTAGAGTTTGTTAGAGAATTTTGTATTTTATTCTTGATGATCAATTTTATGTGTATAAAATAAATATTGTTTTATTTTATCTAAAAATTTGATTATAGATGTATTATTTGGTATTCTCTTTAGTATCTATAATGAGAAGACATCATAAACACATGAGATTTAATTTTCTTTATATAAACTATATCATCTTTAATCTGTTGTGAAACTGCGTTATTTATTAATTTAGCGAGAGTAGCTACGTTCAACATTCCTCAAATACCAGCACCACCAACTCCACCAGAAAATATAGTTAACGAACAAGATCGACAGATGCAGTTGCAATATGAGCAATGGCTTAATCATCAAGATCAAGTATTAAAACAACAATTACATTATTATGAAGGAGAAATCCAAAAACTCCGCAAAATAAGAAAGGTAAATAAAAATTAATTAGTCTTTATATTAAAATTAAGTAATAAATATAATTAAACTACATACAAAACTTTTTATAATTATAAATTAAATAAATTAAATTATAAAAAAATTCCCTTTAGATAAAGTATAATATAAAGTTTTTTCTATATTATATAATAGTAAATAAATTTTCTTTATAATAAGCTTTGATGTGACTTGAATCTCTTAACTTGTTTATCTCCTTATTTTTTATTATGTATAAAATATTGAACTGCTTTATGTAATTTTTTATCTCATCTCTTTCCAGTCTCTCAATAGCAAGCAACGCCAACTTCGAAAATCCGGTAATGAGCTGACAGAGACGGACGCTGCCGAGCTGCAACGGGTTTCCAGTGAACTGGCTATTTTACAAAAACATTTGGATGCCTCGCGTAAACAAGGCCGTCAACACAACATGCTGATCCAGGAATATCAGAGCAAACAACAGCAACGACAGACCCAACCGAACGAACCTTGTTCTCCATTGATGTCACCTTCTCAACATTCCCCGATGCATTCTCCAGCAGCTTTAGTTTCTCAAAGCCCTGGTCCTAACATGATTCAACATTCACCGGCAACTCCATCAATTATTCAACACAGTCCAGGTACACCGCTGCTTCAGCATAGTCCAGGTAACTCTCAGTCAACAAATCTAGGGACAATGTCACCTCATAATGTCCAACAACAATCGCCAAGAATTGGCACTCCTCATTCTCAAGGTGACGAAAGTCCATTTAGCCCTGGACCAATGCCTTCTCCGGGTTTATGCAATCCTAATACTACGCGGATGACATCACCACAACACAGAGCCATTATTGGTGGAAGATTAGCAACTTCTCCTGGTGCCTTTACGCCAGAGACACGAAATCCACAACAAATAATAGTCGATCAAAATGTGAGAGTTCATAATTTAGCTCAGAGATTTGTCAGGCCACCAGAGGGGACACAAAGAAGAGGGGGCATTGTTTACAGTCCCCAACCAGGGCAGCAACAGTTGTTGAGTCAGCAGCATCAGCAATTGTTGCAGAGGCAACAAATTATTCAACAACATGATACTGTTGCTCAGGATCAGGGACAAGGCACCATTGCGCGAGGAACATTGCAGCGGCAACAGGTTTTTACTCAACAACAGCAACATGAAAATGTTTCTCGACAACAAATTCTTCAGCAACAACAGAGTGATATTTCTCAAGATGGACAGAATATTGTTGCTCAAAGAAATTTGCAGATTGCTCAACAGAGGCAGATTCTTCAACAACAGCAACCAAATGATGTCTCTCAAGAAGGACAGAATGTTGTTGCTCAAAGAAATTTACAAATGGCTCGGCAACAGATTATTCAACAGCAACAAGAAGGTATTTCTCAGGACGGACAGAATATTATTGCACAAAGATCGATGCAAATGACTCAGCAAAGACAGCAAATTCTTCAGCAGACTGAAGGTGTTGTTCAGGAAGGACAGAATTCTATTAATCAAAGATCGTTGCAAATGGTTTCACAACAACAGCAACGACAAGCTCTTCAGCAACAGAATGATATTACTCAAGAAGGACAGACTGTTGTTACTCAAAGAAATTTACATTTGACGCAGCAACGACAGCAAATTCTCCAGCAACAACAAATTGTTCAACAACACGAAATAATTTCTCAAGGTATTTCTCCGGAAGGACAAAATTCTATTGGGCAAAGAACGTTGCAAATGGTTCAGCAACGACAGCAAATTCTTCAGCAGCAGCAACAGGAAGATACTTCCCAGGATATACAAAATGTTGCTGTTCAAAGGAATTTGCAAATAGTGCAACAGCGACAAATTCTTCAACAGCAGCAGCATGAAGGGATTACACAGAATATTTCTCAAGATGGACAGAATGTTGTTCAAAGAACATTACAAATGACACAGCAACGTCAACAGGTTCTTCAACAACACGAGAATATTTCTCAAGATGGACAGAATGTTGTTGCTCAAAGAAATTTGCAAATAGCGCAGCAACGACAACAAGTCCTTCAACAACAGCAACAAATTCTTCAACAACAACAAATTCAGCAGCAACATGAAGATGTTTCTCAAGATGGACAAAACACTATTACTCAGAGATCACTGCAAATGGTTCAGCAACGACAACAAATTATTCAGCAACAACATGAGAGTGTTTCTCAGATTATTTCTCAAGAGGGACAAAATTCTATTGCTCAAAGATCATTACAATTGGCTCAACAACGACAGCAAATTCTTCATCAACAGCAACATGAAGCTATTTCTCAAGAAGGACAGACTTCTATTGCTCAAAGATCGCTTCAAATAACTCAGCAACGTCAGCAACTGCTGCAACAACAGCAACATGAAGGTGTTTCTCAAAATATTTCTCAAGAAGCACAGAATTCTATTGGTCAAAGATCGCTTCAAATGGTTCAGCAACGACAACATATTCTTCAACAACAGCAACGACAGCAGTTTTTGCAGATGCAGCAGCAACAGCAACAAAAGCCACCCAACTCACCAATGGTGTCTCAACCAGCCAGTTCCCCAAGTCCACAGCTTCATCAACAACTTCAACAAGGTTATGGCCAACCTCCTAGTTCACCCATGGTACAGCAGGTGACGATGGGGTCACCAATGCTTCAGCAGCAGCTGAATCCGATTTCTCAGCCTCCCAGTCCGATGAACAGGATTTCGCCGATGCTTCACGGTGGTCATCATCATTCTTCAGCAACAAATCAGCCACCTAGCTCACCGATGATGCCTAGAAGTCCTATGGTAGCCGGATCTCCTATGCAGATGCAACGAAGACAATCTACCGGAAATAGTCCGGCTATGCCAGATAGACCACAAAGCGTAGAAAATCCTGGAACACCAAGAACACCACATACACCTCATAATTTTGTTCAACAAAGTACTAATTTAACTGCAACTTCAAATGATCAAGTTTCTCTGCAAATTCTTCAGGAATCACCTTCTTTAGTAGAAAATTCTGCTAGAGGTGGAGGAAACTCCAATAATCCTCTAAATCCAATCCCTTTTCCTAATTATGGAAAGTCTGGATATTTTAAATTAGGGTTGAGGGGCGGTTCGCCAGGTGATCAGCAACAAATTTTCTCATTAGAAAATACTACTAATAATAATAATAGTAAAAATCACAATAACTACGCAAAGTTAATGCAATTTTCTAATTTTGGAAGATTTGGATACTTTAAGTTAGGTTTAAGAGGTGGATCGCCGATGTGGTCAAGCAAAGCAGAGAGCAGCAAAGGCAGCAAAGAGTCAGAAATATCTCAGATAAAAAGAGAACAGCTCGTAGAAGAGAAAACAAACACTTCTTTAAATCGAAAAACCGTCAAGATCGGTTCACTAGTTTGCGCCGATTACAATGATTTCGATGATGACTCGCATACTCCGCCACAGGCTTCGCCGACGACCTTAGAAGTAAAACCGACTCAAAACTCTTCCTTGATCTCTTCAAATTTAGACAATGAACCTTTGGAAAGTCCTGGAGTAAAACTGGAACAGCTTCCAGACACGACAGATTATGATGATGATAAAACTATAGTAAACACCGAGGTAACTTTGAGCTCCGCAGCTCAGCGGGATAGTGATGATATCACTGTCATTGAACAGTTTGGTGACTCGGAACTAGTTGATGTTATTTCAGGAAGTTTAGAAGGAGATATGCAAGAAGAATATGTTCTGTTTGAACCCGGAATGGTGGTGGATCTCTCTGCTGATAGCAACGATTCACTTTGCCACGCTTTAGTGAATGATGCTGGTCAAAGTCACGATCTAGTGCAAATCCTGGAGATTGAAAATCCTGAATCACAATCAGAAGAACCGATTTTGAGTGATGAAGAGCTAATTCCATCTCATTTGAGAAACAAAAAGGGTCTTAGACTCGATATAGTGAGGACCTTGCAAGCTGGAAAGAAGCTAGTCGCCGTTACTGATACTCCAGACTCTCCGGATCAAGAGGAACTGCGAGTAAATCCTTCTCCGGGTTCTTATTTGGATCAATCTCTTGATCAAGAGCTTATGGTGTCTTTAGTAAATGAATCTGAAGTAGTTATCATTGATCCTACGACAAAATCTCCCGAAGATAATCTCTCCAAAGGATCAGGCGATGAAGACACTGAGAAAATTGATTCCAACATACAAATTGATGTTTCCAAAGAGAACACAACTAATGAAGGTTCCATAGATGAACAAAACAAGATGAAACAAAACAAGAGTCCCACGAACTTTGTTTTTTCAGATAAAACTTCTTATAATAATATTTTATCTTCGACTATGCATCCAACAAGTATTAATACAGTAACATTTTCAAACTCACCGATTTCTTTAATAAATACTGCAATTTCTTCAAATTCGAATACAATTCTAGCTTCTGTTAGCTCCGATTCTCAACTAAACCAGATCTCAATTCAGCCAATTGCGACAGGAGCGAAAACGATAGATCAATTTGACTCGAAGGAAGTTTCTTCGAGCTCCTTTAGCAATCAGAAAGCTTTCACATTATCATCGACGATGGCAAGCATCGTGGCGGACGCGAAGATTGCTGCAAAACTTAGCCAAACGGCTATAGTCTCCAACCCTCAGAAAAGTAAATTAGATCTAAAAATCGGAGTATTCTCTCCCAGGGAAATGCCGAAAATATTATCTTCAGGAAAGCCTTCAGTAACTTCGGATTTGCTGATAAACAAAACGGAATCTCATAACAATCCTACGAAATTAGTACTAAATGTGCAACCAACTTCTGTTACACTATTGACTCCGAAAATGTCGATCCCAGATTTATCGAAAAAAGGGAGTATTTTGAAAAATAAAGAAAAACAAATGGAAGGTCAAGCAGGCGAAATGAAGAAAGAGAAGGAGGAGGAAGAGGTGCAAGGTAAAATAAAAAACGAGAGCAATTCTTCGGGGTTAATTGCTGAAGAAAAGAAGACCGATCCGCTAAATACTACAGATGAACTGGAGAGTATGCTAGAGGCTATTCATAATCCTGCAGAAAATGCTGAAAATAAAAATGATACTCCAACGACACTCAAAAGGATGTCGCCCGTCACCGATGATTTATCACTTGTTAACATCTTGGAGAACGATGCTGAACTGGTAGAGAACGACAAAGAACAGATTTTATCAGGTTCTGACGTGCAAAAAGCCAACAAATCGAAAGAAACTGAAAAAAACATTGAAGAGACTAGTAATGACAAAAATACTCTTTCGAATGATAAGAATCGTCAGGAAGAACTGTGTACCGAAGTGGAAAATTCTAAACCATTTCTTCAGCATTGTTTGAGTGAAGAAAAGACTTTGATGGAAGAATCTTCTGATGATATTTTAGATATGTTGCACAATATCATCTCATCGAAACCGGAAATGGCAAACAGCGGCGAGCTCAAGTCGAGTCTTATCTACCAGATGCCAACTCCGCTTGATACTTTGCCATTGAATATTCTTCAAGATTCGTTGATCGATGTAGAACAAGAAAACCTGGAAAACGATCAACTTTCTTCAACTGAAGCTAAAAATCAAGTGAAAAATCAAAATTTTGAAATGAAGAAGAGTCCTCCAGCGACGAGTCAAGCTTCTACTTTAGTAGTTAGTACCGTGGCGCAATTACAAAAAAGTACGACAACGGTTCCTCATTTATCGCCACTCTCAAAACCAACTGAATTGACTTCCAACGTGGCCAACGTATCTCATCAGCTAAGGACATTGCTTTCGTCCTTGCAAAGCAATCAGAATACGGTGAATCAAACTGGAGTAGTCACCATGGTGTCTTCAGATAAATCTGGAAGCGTTTTATCTGCTTCTAACACCCTGTCAACCTTAAATTCGTCAAATAATGGTCAAAGTGGAGTTTCGAGCTTGACGAGATTAGATCAAAATCGCTCTCAACCTAATTCGATTAATAATACTATCAAAGATTCAGAACTGACTCTAAAGGAAGCAATAAAAGAATCGGGCGGAATTATTACTGCGGTTACGAAGATTAGCAATGGCGAACAAGTTTTCAGGGTAACTTGTTCAGCTACAACTATCCAGTCTACAACAGTTTCTAATATTTCCAGCATTACTTCCACAATAATAACCACTAAAACTGTTACAACTTCAATTTCCATCACTTCGAATGCCATGTTGAATGCTATGCTGGCCGACACTACTTCTTTAAAGCCTTCAGTTGCTGGTCATAGTCGTAATAACACGGTATCAACTCAATCCGTCAATTTTTTTAATTCCGTTTTGCCATCGACTTCGATACAACGCTCACAAAGTCTCCAGGCGATTCTCCAGGTCAGTTCAGGATGCTCTACACCCACTCGAGTACAAGTAAATACCAATTCAGCCGTAACTAATTCAATGCAGTGTGTTAGGACTATTGTACCACCGTTAGCGACTTCCAGCGGAATCTCTGGTACTCCTAGCATCCTTCAAACGACCTTATCACAAGCTCCAAACCACCTTTTGACTTCTAATCAAGGTCAGTATAAATCTCCTGGCCTTTTACCCATTGATAATAAAAATAACGACCTTGAAAATCAATCTACGACTTTAATAAAGGATCCTGAAGAGTCCAAAGTACAAGAGAAGAGAGAAATAGATCCTAGCAAGAATTCTAATTCTTTGAGGTTGGAGGATTCCCAAAATGTATTACTAAAACAACTATTACAAAATACGGTGGGTGCTACGACTTCAGGGTCGTCGCAAGGGCCCAGTCTACCAATAGTTCCTTCGTTGGAAGCTCAACTAGCTCGGCCAGTTCTACCTACACCGCCATCTCTGCTTCCTCAATTGCTAAACGAGACACCAACACCGAAACCAGTAATAAATAAACAAGTTCTTACGAGAGAAACTTCCTTCTTGTCGCATTCAGTGTCACATTTGAAGATTCAGAGTTCACCAATTAAGGAAGAATCTTCTAAATCTTCTCCTCCATTATCTAGTTCAATTCCAATAATGTCCCAACAAAGAGGACACAGCGAAAGTTTGAAGCAGCAAGCAACAAAATCAGTTTCTACTTCTTCAGGAAGTACTTTGGAAAATTCTTCAACAAATTCTTCAGTAAAACAACAGACAGTTTCTTCTACAATAACAACGACAAGGATGTCTCCAAGTATTTCTACGAATCAGCAAGAATCTTCTGGTCAAGGAAAGCCAGGGACTAGCATTGACGAAGAACCTCAGACTCCACAACGTGTCGCCGTTTCCATTTCAAAAGTTAATTTACAGAGTAAACCGTTGATGGCTTCTGGAATGACTTCGAAAAATGTTCAACCGCTGACTAATAATTCTAGTAATATTTCTGGACCTCAAACCCAAGTTCAG